TTATTGCAATGATTCCGAGTCTTATCGTTATCGTAAAAATTATTTAAGCTTAATCATAATATTGTTTGAACCAGAACAAAATACAATTTAAATGTAATTAAGTCAAATGTAAGTGTATTCGTTGATTAATTCGTAGGCGGCGAAACCGATAGGTTATTTTTGGACTATCTGTACCGTAGGAGCGATACTAGTGGAATCGATGTACCTTTTCCCCAAAACATAAAAAGTTCTGGCGGAATCGATCGGCGGTCGTCATAACCGCGCACTTTCAAAAAAAGGTCGTCGTTCAATACCGTACACATTTTACTTTGCATCCTATCGGACGTGGTTTCGCACAACAAATCGAAGGTTATTTTCAACTAAAATTATCCGATTGAGCGCAGCGAGCGAGTGACCACATTGGGTTTCTAATTTTACCTACAATGCTTCTCACTGCCAATCAAATGTGTGCGGTTTTGAATTATCGACCATTAAAATTTTCATTTTTAACAATAAGCAAAATGCGTGCGGTATTGAACGATGTAAAATTGGCGGATATGAACGGTAACTTTGCGGTTTTAAACGACGCCCGAATCGATGAACTCCCGTAAAAATATCCCGAATTTCGTTCCTGTCGTACCGTAAAATATGCGGCATTTCCACTCGGCATAACCACTCTACTTGAAATACGCTCAAGGTGAACGAAAGTTTTTCGAAAAAATTAATAACGCTGACTACATATTATTGTATTAACGAAGATACAGCGGTTTTATTTTTTGTTGAATTCCGTGTTACCTTATCTGTACCGAAGACATAAACAAGATTACAATGCTGACAATACTGCGTAATATACAACATAACCGGCCGCGGTTTACCGCGAGCTCCGGTCTGAATCGTTTTTCGATTGCGCTCCGGTATACTACGACATAATATCATACAAGCTAATATTCTTTATCACCTCCCGGCTCGGCGCCTACATCAACAGCGGCTTATCCGTACACCGGTATAAATTGCAAATAAACTTCAAACCCGTATATTTCCAACAAGAATTCCACGTTGACGGCTCGAATTCACAAAAAATCGATTGCTGTTGAAAATATTGTAATACTAGAGTATCCGCGATAACGACGCGTATGTTTGGTTTAGAGCAGGGTTTGCTAAACTTCGTGTGACAGAGATTTATGCTACAAGAATGTCTATTTTTTCCTTTGAGGATCATCGACTCCCTAACACATACGTGTAATCATAAATTACCTAATAGGTATTAATATAAAAAAAACATGCGTGTACAAATAATAAAATTAAAACGTATAAAGTTAAACAATGTTTTCCTTCAAATTTTCATTAAGACTGGTATAATATTTCAAATGCAATTGCCAGTATAATTGCGCCGTTGTATTATATTGTTTGATAAATCGACAACTAAATAATGATGCGTAGTTAGGTAAAAATGATCGGTGATTCATTGTGACTCGTCCACTAATCGTATAAAAATAAATTCTAACCAAGAGAGATCGGCGTTTCGCGATCCACTGTTTCGCTACCCCCGATCAGCGTAACGCGGTCGGCCGAGTATACTCTGTTCGACAGTTTTTTTTTTTTTCGTAAACAGCTCGAGTAAGACGTACTGTGCGTCACTGCGGGAGTATTCGAATTCTGAAATCGAACAGAGTTCCTAAAAAAAAAAAAAAAAACCAGAGTCGGCTCGACTCCATTATCGCGTCGCGTTATTGTTTATAGGGGATGTATAATACCCGCGCCCGGGTCCGGGACCCCGGCCGTGGGAAAACCGCGGACACGACTCCTCGCGACTCGGTCGGTCGCGACCTTCGGCGCGCGCGTTATTATCAATAAAAAAAAAAATAATAATACATATAATTTCGAAAACGATCGGTAAAAAATGATTTAGGTGTTGCGCGGCTGCCGCGGTAACCGTTCCCGAACCGCGCACAACTCGTTAAATCGAAACATGACGGATTTTTTTTAATCGACCGCGTAACCCGTTTTCTCACGACTCGGAATGTTTTTAATTCCGTCGGGCGCACTCGCGCCTTACACGTGTACTGTATAGGTGCAACGCGTATAATTTTTTTTACATTCGTAATAATATTGTTATCTATCATTCGTTCGTCGTGCACGCGCGTATTTATTATACCGTGCGCGCACCGAGAAACCGCCCGCGAACGTCAACGAAAACGCAATAAATCAACAATGTTTGATGTTTTCGATGTCCGCGTACGCATTATACGCGCGTTCCTCCTATAACTCACTCGGCGACGGGCGAAACACAATTTCGCGTTATAATATTATTATTATTACACTTCCTGTCCGATATAATGTGATATTCGCGAGTCACACACACACACACATTCGCGTCATGAAATATGCAAATTATCGTTATGGCCACGGCTCAATGTCGAATCCGCGAGGCGTCTGAAGGCCGCGCGTGTAAACCAACCAGCCGACACGCGCACGCGCATTAGTCGCACGCGCCTAATGTCGTTAATTAATTACGTTGCGTTCGTGTTTCCACTTCCACTTCCTACATTCCAATTTCCGATAACAGCGCGCGACACCTATACAATAGTTCTGTGTACTATTAATTATCGCCTAATTGTATTGTAATTGTATTACGTTATTACCCGTTCGAAAATGTTTACAGCGAATTTAGCGGAGAACAAGAAAAAAAAAAAAACAATAGGAATTCACGACGATTGTCGGGTTTTCTCTAGGCATGTTATACGAAGACCGCAAGGAAAATGCACCTACCGCGGAACGCACCGACGAAATAAAATCGTCCGGGTACGAGAAACGCTTTTTGTCGGTTTCCGATCGGAATAAGATTTTCGGCGGAAAAGTCGTTGTAGCAGAGACGTTATACACGCAAGTACAGTGAGACCGACGCGCGTTCGTCGCTACGCTCAAAATCGAAAATAAATAAAAAAAAAAAAGCGTGCGGTTCACGCGCGGTTATATCGTATTCGGTGTTGAGACTGTCAAGACGGAAACACCGGACGCACACGATTACGTATAGTCGAACGAAGTCCGAAGGAATGTAGCCGGGCGAAATACATTTCTAAAGGCCCCGATAACTAAACACAGCCCATTTCATGGCCAACGTTATGGTTAGCGTGAGATTTTATTTCTGTAATAAAATGCATAGTATTCAATATTCAATCGGTTCGGCAACCAAACTTTGGCCCGAAAACGTGAAACGGTCATAGGCTTAATTTTCAAAAGAATTAGGGCCGAGACCCGACCGCCCACTGACAGTTTGTGCGGTCATACGGTATGACACGGTTATACGATCACTGTCCCAGTTTTCCAATTTAATAATCCTAAAAAAAAAATTTTCTCTAAAAACCCGATGCCGAAATCCTCGGAAATCGACCTTTCGATTAACAGTAAAATACCCGAATGTGCGTCGATAATATACCCACGTGCATCGATAGGCGGGCGGGAGCGAGGTGGACAACGGTAGTATTTTTCCGCATACCGCGGCCGGTCACGACCGCCGATGTGGCTACAGTTTGAAGAAGGAAACCGCTTCGATATTTCAGCTTCGCGCCCGATAAAAATACGAAAATAAACCGTAAACGGTTTCCTTTTTTTTTTTTTTTCTCCCCCGATTGTTTTGTAACCGTACCCGTGCCCCGACGAAAAAAAAAACGGTCACGAACACGGAAATCGCGGCGGACCGTATTATCGCGCGTACGCGTTACCAAACTACGTAGGCGCGCGCAAACATCGAAATGGAAATGTCACTGCGCGAAACGTCCGGCGACGGAGTAGGTGTGTACCTGTACCCGTACATATAAGTGGCCGACGTACCGATAGATGGAAAAATGAGACGGCGGGGAAACGAAAATCACTCAACTCCGATTCTACACGGTTCGCACGCCGGTGCCGTTACTATATTGTCATCGCGGTAATACGGTACCTATACACTACAATTTATTATATTGCGGAGTTCGCCGAATCGTTTCGCGCGCGTAATATATTACGTTGCCGTCACGTCGGATCGCCGCGCGGCCCCGACCGTTTTAACCGGAAAAACGGAAATAATAATTCCGAAAAACGACGCGTGTGCATATTGTCATTTCGGCGCCGGTGCGCTCTGTCCGGTCAGTGACGACCGTAATGACGGCGCGACGTCCAACGATCGTACGGCGAAACGCGGTAGTCGCCGCCGTTGTCGTCTGGAAACCCGTCTACCACCGCCGTGCACCTGTAGTGCTGCGGACAATCGCGGAAAAGTGTCGTGTTTTTACACGGCACGCTTTTAGCCGGTGTGCGAACGTCTCCGCGAACCGTCCGTGCGAATTCCGACGTTCGCCGTGTGAGCTGATCGCCGTAGGCGTGCGCACGGGGGCAGGACGGGCGGCTGTCCCTCCCGCGGGCTAAATTTTTCCTCCCGAAAACCGTGAAATTTCTACTATTCTGTTAAATTGGTAATTGAATTAACGACGTATACATTTAAATTAGTTCCGTCGATGGAAATTAATCGAATTAACTAACAACCAAACTAATATGCGATTATATTACGTATAATATAAACATACATACGTATATTGTGATCCCCCCCGCCGGCGAGGTCTGCGCAAGCCTATGGAAGTGGTGTGAAATGTTTAATCTTTTCACATGTTGCACTAAGCTGTTGACATTGCTCGATATCTAGCTCAAAGTCTATGTGGTATGATAGAGATACGTGTTCAAGATGTCGAGCGTATATTTCTGTTTTTTTTTTTTTGTTCATTGCGAGCCCAGTTGCCATTTTTTTGCGGACGGGTCGTACATGAACACTAGGTGTGTTATGTCATATTCTTCTCGCTTAGCGTTTTTGTTGAACTAGATTTCTTATATCCAGTAGGTATGTAGTCTGGCGTTTACCATTGGTAGCTGCCGGAGTTGCTAATTTCGCCGCATTAATAATGTCGTCGGTCAATTTTTTAACTGCATTTTCAATATCGGCTATTGTTCTTGTTCTAATTGAAAGGGTTATGTTTTCTTCGAGAGCACTTCTAAAATAATTCCCAGTTCGTTTTTTTGTTTGTTATGGAAATTTTCTTTTGTTTTACTATTACGTTGGAACTTAATGAGAGAAGCACGGAAATATGATCCGACATTAGCACAATTAGACCTTCAACTTCTATATAATCTGATGGAATTCCATTCATTACATCGAAATCAATAATATTAGATAGTTTACTTGGGTTAGTTGGCCAGTAAGTTGGTTTTCTAGTTGAGATGAATTGCGCTTCAAGTTTATTTGTATATTTAAACAAATCACGTCCTTTAGTAGTAATCAATCTCGATCCCCAGAAAGTATGTTTGTCATTATAATCACCGCCGGCAATGAATCTACTACCCAGAGCCCGAAAGAATTCAGTAAACTTCTTGTCATCTACTTTATATCGCGGTGGACAATATACAGCAGTTATAGTAGGATCATTACCGCTGTCATTTACACGGACACTTGTTGCTCGTAAATATTTTTGATTTTTGTTTTTCAAGTTCATGGCGTTTGATTGATTCTTTTATTATCACTGTAATCCCTCCATGAGCGCAGTTGCTTGGATGTTCTGTTGTATATATTTGATATCCATGTGTCTTTAGACTAATCCACGTTGTAAAATGTGTTTCTGAAATTAGAGGTACGTCTATTTTTTCATTTTGCATAAGATGTTCAAGTTCTTGTTTTCGCTATAGAAGACCGTTAGCGTTTCATGTTTCAATTCACTAGCTTAATCGTTAAAATTTGACAAAACGAACGAAACCCCGTTTTAATTTCTATACACCTACCTACGGATGCTCGTACTCTAATTTTGAATTGTTCCTGTTTTCTTGCTATTTAAAAAGTTCGCTGTATGCAAAAAACTTGTCAACGACGCCATTTTACTTGCAGTTTTATTTTCTATAATATTTAAATGGACCTGACCATGAACAAATACACTTTTTTATTCACGGTCACAATTTTGACATCACATTGACACAAAAAAGTTCAACGTGCCACTGGACACGCGAGTGACAATGTGAGATCGAGTCGTGCACAGGAAGGAGTGGAAGAACACCGTAACGCGTACACATCGCCGAGACGAACCAGTGGCTAACACACCGGCGGAGCGAAAATTTTTTTTTCAAACGAGTATAATACTACCCGGAAAAAAAGAGCGGCGTGCTTATAGTTCTTTTAAGCGAATATTCAATTTCCACTTTGACCATACGAGTGTCACGTGTCGCGGTCCATAACGGTTAATATATTAATTTCGTCGTGTTTCGCGTGGTGAAAACCGGCAAGTAAACGGGCGGTGTACAGGTAATAGGTTCCCGCGGAGAAATTCTCGCGGTCTTTTTCGTTGCTATTCGGCACTCCCGACGACGGCGTCAAACACGTCGCCCACTCCGGACCGCGCAACAATAATAATAACGAAAACGATATGGTCTGCATAGTGAAGCTATACTATTATACGCGTACCGTACGGGGTACTGCAATATGCAAGTGCAGTATACCGTGTAAGTATACATTATCGTAGTATAATATTCACCCGCGCAGTCGCGAACCGCGGAATAGTCCATTGTTTTTATTTATTTTTTTCCCTCATTTATTTATATTTATTATTCGCCGAGCGCGGCTTACGAGTATACCTACGTACGTACGTATACAATAATAATAATAATAATAATAATAATAATACAGCCGAACGCGAAATTATTTACATATGCGCACGCTCGTATTACGCAGCTATCCGTATATACGGAACATTAAAACGTCCCTCTAAGTAGACGATAGGGAAATGTCGTGTTATGAGCCCGAACCGTTGGTACGCGTGCGCGGAGGAGAGCGCGCGCGATATTTACGAGCGCGCGTATATGTACGATACCGGTGGCGCGTTATACACACTTCCTTTCTTTTATTTCCGAAAGATATACAGCTCCGGCAGAGGAGAAAAAAACAAAAAACAAAAAACAAAAAAAAATACACACGGGGACGTTGAGAAAAAAAAAAAAAAGAATTATACTGTCGCGTTTTTCGGGGTGGGGTGGAGGGAGGGGCGGTGGAGAAAAACGCGAATTTTACTGTTGTTGTAGGGCGTTTATTATTTTTAGGGACCCGGGAGCAGTACATGCGCTCGTCAGCCGCCGCCGCCCGACCTTTGCGACAACGCAAACGCAGCTAGTCGTAACAGCGTCGCCGGTGTTACTCATTACGACAATTCTCCGACAATGTGCCGTACGACGTACGCGCGCGTTATTTACCGTATTGTAACGCGCATCAGGCGCGGTAAACGTTAAACGAATTCGTTTCCCCTCCCCCGCGTTGTAGCCCCGGCGGCGAGAACAAACGCGCGATCTCTGACCTTTGGCGGTTCGCGTACGCGTGTAGGGCACACCGCGCAGTACTGAGCCGCGCCGGGACTGTGCGCGCGGTACCTGCACTCGTCCCCGGAGTCCGTCTGCTCGGGAAAAAAAAATTTAAAAAAATTAAAAAAAAAAAAATACGCAATATATTAGCGCGATAATTATACACGCGTCGCGGACGACGCGACGACGTCACCCCCCCCCACCCCGCGCTCGCCGCCGCCCTTCTGTTTTCGCCGTCACTCGCTCGGTCTCTTTCCCTCTATCCGGGATATTTTACCATATTGTTTATTATCGTTGTTGCTTACGCGCGGAAGGGTTCGTTACGACACGTTTTAATGTTCTTTTAAATAATATATATTATTACAATTCCCCCCGCGCGCGCGTCGTCGTCGGTGGAGCGTACGTATATTTTTTTTATTTTTTTTTTTTACGCGCGTGTGATGATAACGGTAATAATATCTCGCGCACACCGACCGCCGTCGCCGTCGCACATTAGTCGTGCGGTTTCGCTCAAGTTGATCCATTTTAAATTTATCACACGAGCATTTCTTTATATTATTATTATTATAGTCTTTCATTTTTTTTTTTCGCCTCTCCGGGCGGCGGCGATAATATTTTCTTCCTATTGTGTGCGTGTGTGCGCGCCACTGACAAGGAAACCGGTAACGGCGTTTGATTTATTAAAATAATTTTATGACTACTCGCCGTTTTTTCGGGTTGCTAAATTCTCGATTCTTTTTTTCGTTTCCCCTCCCCCCCCCTAACCCGCGCGCCGAGAGAGGGTGAGAACTCCGCCGCCGCCGCCGCCGCGAAGGGAGCGAAGATCATAAATTCTGTTTTTACTATTATATACGAAACCCCGGAGACGAATAGCCGTCCGGTTTTATTACGTTTTGTGTTTTTTTTTTTTTTTTCGTTTTTTACTTATTTATTACTATTTCATTTTATTTTTAGCGTCTCCCTTGGAAATACCGACCCGACCAACGGCGGCGTCGTCGTACTTTGTCTCGTGTTTTATTTCGTTGTGATTTTCAATTATTTACCTTACCCGCTAGAAATGTATAATGTTGTTTATTTATTTTTTTTTTTTTTTAACGATCCTCGTAAACTTATAATTCTTTGGCGCCAGAGAAAAGTTTTTTGGAGAAAAATTAATTTTTTTCAATGTTATTCTATAAATACGTCTAAATATTATACAATTTTTACTTACATTATAAACGGGATAAAAACGATAAAAAGGACTTCCATTATTACGTTCGACCGCCGCCAAATAAAAACGTAAAACAACTTGTGATTTTTACTTATGCAATATAATGTAATGCAATAGTCTAGAAGACCGATCAATGACTGCAGATCTATAGAACGGACAAAAAGGCTTTTTCAATGGGTAGTTTTGGACTACGATAAAATTGATAACACTTTGAAATTGTTAAATAAATCTACATTGTTGTGTCGCCTGCCTGCATGTTGCGTACAAATACATTTTAAAATATCTAGATAATTATAACAGATAATATTAAATACAGAGAACACTCAATTTATCTAGACTATTCGATTATTAATTGTTTTAGATAACTTTTTTCGCGTCTGTATATCTGTATAAGAGATACAAATGTGCCCATCTGGATATAATATAGGTATTCGTCTAGATTAAACACACCACTGGTCGTGGACCGAAATCGACGGATCGCTTTTGCGTGGTCGTCACGTGGCCCAGCGCTATCATCACGGACGGAGCTGTACGATGATCAAACAAAAATCACGCTTTTCGTGAGGTCTTCCCTCCGTCGTCTCTATGGTCGGCGAAATAATAATCGTCAACGCGTTCTGACCACGCGTCCCTATATACCTAGCAATACGATATTGCTCGTCGACGGAATTTCGTCACGGTCTGAGGAAAACGTCGGTTTCATTCGTTACGTGCGCGTATAATATTATTTACGACCGTTTTGCAATCGTCGCGTCGTGTCCGCCTCTCACAGTGGTGCGGACGACGGTACCCTCAGCTGCTGCCTCCGTATTATAATGATATATATGTATACGATATAACGTATCGATAATACCGATTTTTTACAATGTATACATAATATATTATAATACCGCAGACTCGGACTTTGTTATAATATTTTACACGAAGAAATGGCTCGCGGTGACGCGGTGAAGTCGGGAACGTCGGCCTCTAGAACTCCTGCAGTCGAATACAATCAAAGCGCTCGTGACTCGTATCCGAGCGTGTGTTTCGTCGACGATCGACTACGCTCTTAATAATACTCGTTTCCCTTGCGAAATGCGTAAAACCGGATATCTCGGTGTAACACCGAGGAAAAACCACGGCCAATACTGTTCCGCTCAGAATCGTTTAACGGTAGCAATGATAACAGTACAGTGAAATATAAAACGAATCATTGTGGATATCGCACGTTTCCGACAGTACCATCCTACAAGCTATGGCTTATTCGTGAGCAATATTAACTCTAAGACTTTTAGATTCTGAGTGGAGCGAAGAAGCTTATGGTTTTACAAAGATGTTTTTTTTTTTTGGAAAACTCTTCTACCAGCTAGTTTACTTCGACTTTTAACGACAGCAATCTTTCTGAAAGAAAATTTCACTGGGGAAGTCGTTTTTCAGTTTTCCCCGGAGTTTTCTCATCTAATGTGAAAAACCGAAAAAACCTTAAGAAAAACGGGAAAACGTAAGATATGTACCTACTTAACATTTTAAGTTGTACCTAACATCTTTGCGATGTATGTTTTGTGCTTCATAAGGAACATCACATTACAATATTACTGGGACCACTTGAGGTGGTTTTATTTTAATTGTTACCATATTATAAACTTAGAACATTCGTACAACATTTAAAATTTAACTTTTTAGGAACATCTCTATAATGGCATATTTAATATTAGTTTTGTAAGAGTTAAAATTATACTTAATATATGTTAAATAAAATATTATAAGGAGCAAAATCGATCTCCTATCGTTTTTGATTTGGAGCAATATTTCTGTTAGAGAACATCGTGTTAACATAATAAAAACAACGAAAACGGTAATGCGAGGCGCACTGTAAATATTTGCGTTTTACCTATACTTACAAAGATATAATTTGTATCAATTATTTGAAACATTTGTATAATAGTTGTACAATATAGAAACAAA